ACATCCTTTTCCATCTCCAGCAGCAGCGATTTGGTCTGTTATGTTTCTGCATCAGTAAAACAGCCACACAGACACAGCAGAGGTCACGGCTCGGCGTTTTAATCACTGCAGTAATCAGCGCTGAGGAGAAGACGGTGGAGGCACTGCACTGATTGCAGCTGCCTCTCCACCGCCGCTCAGAGACAGAAAGTGGACTCTTCTGTTTGCCGTCAAGGACTCAGAATCATCATCAGTTCATCTAATGCACACAAACACACTTCATCCTGATGGGGAGACAGAAAAGTCACCTCACAGAGGCTTCATCTGCTCTACAGTCTGCTGGAGGGCTCAGCGACACAGAGAGCTGGCTGCTGTTGTGCACTTAATGTCTCCTTTTTAACCTGAAATACTTTACTTCTAAAGAAAGAAAGAAAAATATGAGCAGCTGAAAATGTTTTTTTAATCAGAACCACCGGTTAGTTTTCTTTTAAGTAAAAAACCCTAAAAAAAATGGGCAGAAAAAAATAGAAACAAAGCAAATAGATTCTTAGTTGTAAGCATTGCTTTAATAATGATTCTATCAGAGGAAGTCATAATGAGAGTCATCGCTCTCTGCACATGTTGATGGTACCTGTGGACTTTCTGGTTCTGCTGCAGGGAGTGTTTCTTCCTGTTTAAAGGGAGTTGTTGCTTTCCACTGTCACCACATTATTTCTCCGGGGGGGGGGGGTTTCATGGCTGCAAAATTAGTGAATAAATTGTCCGCTGGATTTGTGCTTTTTCTGAGCATTAGCTGCTCAGTGTAAAAAATAACTGCCTGTTTTTGTTATAGTTTGCAGAACAAAGCTAATTTCAATGTGTGGAGTAAAAATACGCTCTGAGAGAAAGGAAGAAAAGGATTTATTTCTCTCTGCAGAGGAGAGAGTGACACAGAACAGCCAAAGACAGCTCCCAGTGTGATTCTAACTAGATCCTGCCCCCCCTTTGCATTATAAAGACTCCTCCCACACGAACGGACAAAAGACATAAAGATGAACATCTCAGACAACTGTTTTCCGTTCACACCAGAGACAGGATGTGAGGACCTTAATCACACACTGCAAAAACGATCTTGAAAGAAGTGAGAAATTCTTAAAATAAGTGTATTTAGCCTTCATTTTAGTAGGTAAATCCGATGATTTGCCAATGGAATGAGTATTTTTACTCTTCAAATAAGAAAATTAGATATTATTCACTTGAAATAAGACAATGCAATTACTTTTTCTTATTTTAAATGTAAATTGTCTTGTTCCATTGGCAAAGTGTCTCACTTACCTCCTCAATTCAAGAAAAATGCACTTATTTTAAGAAAAAAAAATACTTTTTGAGATTTCATTTTTTTGCAGTGCATTAAGGACCTGTTTATCTATGTTTCCCTCTTATCTAACCTAGGGAGGAAACTCCTTTTCAAACCTCCTTCCTTTCCCTACATCTCAGCATAAAGAATGGAACAAAGCCTCTAACTAACCACCCCTATTCAGAAAGAAAGAAAAGCACACTTTAATATTTAACATTACTAACATTCAAGGAAAAACTACAAATCAAAAATGTTTAGTTCAAGTTAATTTTCACAGATTCACTACTTCTTTCCTAATAAATTACAATAAATGCAGTGATGTAGTTTCCTACCAGAGGCTATTCTAAAAAGCAACCAGCAGGAGGCGACAGAGACCAGGTGCAGAGTCAGTACAAAGCTGATAAGGTCCTCTGATCCTGAATTTTATTTCAATGACAACAAGAATCATTTCTCACATCTTTTTTCAGCCAAAGGATGAGTTCTCAGTAGATTAAAACTAATCAGTCTGATTCAGCTCCTAAAAACCCAAAGAAAATTATTGTTTTTATTTTTTTAACTGAATAATGCTCGATTCATTAAATAGCTAAGAACACATTTGTTTTATGTAGACTTTTCCTTTAAGAATTTGAAATGACCACAAATGTACAGACTGCTTTACGGCATACTTCTCCCCCTTTCCCCATTCGAGTCTATATATGCAGGTTTGATATTCCTGATTTTCTATACTGCTCATTCAAATATATGAATGAGAGGAGATGGAGCAGCTGGTGGAGCAGAGATAACAGCCTGATCCTGAAGGTGGAGAAGACCAAGGAGATCATGGTGGACTTCAGGAAGAAGCGTCCTAACCACGCTCCACTGCTCATCAACAGCTCAGCTGTAGAGGTGGTCATTCATCACAGACACCCTCACCTGGACTGGAAACACCACCTCACTGGTCCAAAGGGCCCAGAAGCGCTTGGACTTCCTGCCCCCCCCATCCTCCCCACCTTCTCCAGAAGCACCATAGAGAGCGTTCTGAGCAGCTGTCTCACTGTGTGGAGTGGAGGCTGCAGCGCCTCAGACTGGAAGAAGGTGAGAACAGCAGAGAGGATCATGGGGGCTCCTCTTCCCTCCATTAAAGACATTTCATCCCAGCGCTGCGTGTCCCGAGCCCGTGACATCATCAATGACCCCCCCACCATGGACTGTTCTCCCTGCTGCCCTCTGGGAAGAGGCTTCCCAGCATTCAATGCAGGACCAGCAGGTTCTGCAGCAGCTTCTTCCCCACCGCCATCAGACTGAGGAATGTTGGATAAAATGTGGAGAAAAATAAGAGCTGAAGGTTGAAAAATAAAACTATAAATCATATCTTACATTTGATCACTGCTGCACTTTAACAAATGGAAAGTCTTGAGAGCTGCACTGAAGGAAATTTAGTTTTGTATAAACCCTGTGGGTACAAAATAACAATAAAGTTTGAGTCATATATAACTTATTTTTCTAATTATTAGAGAAGAAGCAGAAATGCTTCTTTGCTTTAGAAACAGGGGAAGATCGATGTATCACACTGGAAAGGGCTGAAATAATCCGCCCTTTCTTTTTTACTCCCTCCATGAATGGTTAAAAGCCGGCCTCGTCCTCCTCCGTCCTTTTCACCAAACTTTAATAAATGATGCTGCTCAGCTTGAGGACTCTCACAGCTAAAAACAAGGTGACATTTTTGTTCCTGATCGATCCAGACTGGGCGGAACGGCGCGTTTTCTGTGCTCCACTTTATCCTCCCCTCACAGAGCAGATATTTGGCAGGAAGAAGGAGCTGGGAGCAGCATGGAGACCTGAGCTGAATGAGAAGGAGCTGGCCGCCCCACTACAGGGTGTCAGCGGGGGGTTAAGCTGTGACCCAGATTCCTGCAGGAGCCTTTGTCCTGCAGGGGAGAGAAGATCCTCCTGAGGAACGACTAAATTCAGCCACGCAGGGAGAAGGAAGCAGACTCTACCGCGAGGGGATCAGAAAGCTGTCGTCTTTCTGAAAGCCTTTAAGTCTCGTTCATCATAATGTTGGTCAATCCAAAGCAACAACAATCGGTTACCATGGAAACCACTGTGAGGTGAAACGACAATAACTTCATCTGTTTTAGCTCATGTAGTTTTCAGGTTTTTTCAGCCAAGCGCTGATCTCAGGTTTTCAGTGGGTTTTAGATCCTAACGTTATCTAATTATCTTATTTTAAGAGTAAAAATACTCATTCCATTGGCAAACTATCTGATTTATCTACACAAATAAAGGATAAATGAACTTAACTTGAAAATGTTTTACTTATTTCTAGATAGTTTTTCCAGTGATGGACAATCTTTTATTTCTGAGTGGATCATCTAAATAAGTGGTTCTCCCAATTATCAGTCATTCTGGTGATTTGTTTACGTAAGGCCGTCCTGCAGTAGTAGCCGTTCCAAATTTCCCAACTTTCCCCACTGGTCCTTGGCTTGTCCCCTATAATTCCTTTCTAAACATCAATATTTGTACTAAAATATTCTTTCTGTCATGATTTATGGACATTAAGATCTAAAGAGAAGCATCATCTCCTGGTCAGACCCGTAATTCTGTGAAAGGGTGGAGTCAAAGTAAGAAACATATGCAAGAGGGGGTCACTCCAGTGTCTGGAAGTTGGAGGGGATTTCATTGGGAGTTGCAGGGAAGTGGGCTGCCATTCGGCTGGTGTTTGACTGGGAAGGGCCATTTTGAATGGCTGCCACTGTAAATACTCATCTGTAAGTGAAAACGGAACAGGGTCATAAGAGAAAAGTTCTCTGTGAAGTTTATGAGAACAAAAGAAAAGCCTCTGAAGAGGCAGATATATCCCAGAATGCTTTGCACGGAGAGTTCTCCTTGCAAAGAGTTCTTGGGTCTGCTGTCACAGCGGCCCGCAGTTGCTACCCGACAGCTGAGATGAATAACAAAGATGGCGCAGGCACTGCGCACGAGCGCTGGAAAAAAATCGAAATCTAGAGTCATTTTTTCTTAAAATAAGTGCATTTGTTCTTAGATTGAGGAGGTAAAAGAGACATTTTGCCAATAAAACAAGACAATTTACACTTAAAATATGAAAACACAATTGCATTGTCTTATTTCAAGAGCATATTATCTAATTATCTTATTTTAAGAGAAAAATTACTCATTCCATTGGCAAACTATGTCATTAACCTACTCAAATTAAGAGTAAATATACTTAATTTAAGAAATTAAGAATTTAATAAAGCAGACTTTCTGAAAAACCATTCAGTTGTGAAACTGTTAAATCTTTTTTTCTCCATCCTCTCTCGTCTTGCAGCGGTGGGGGAGCTACTGTAGCTACCGTCTAAGTGGTCAATCAGGCAGACCTGGGATTGTCCCTCACAGGGTAATCTAGATCAGATTCAGGCTGAGTTTAACTCCAGCAGCGCAAACACCTGCTGCTCCATTCTGTCCTGCATCTACTATTTATTATGAAAATAAATAAAAACATCCTTCTGCTGTTCTTAGACCAAACTTGATGGATTCAGTTTACAGCTTAAAGTTCAACATATTGTCTGTGTGGCAGAAAAAGAGAAAAGCTGCAGACTCCTTTCTAACAGATGCATGCTGAGGGGGGGGAAGTGGGAGGGCTCTTCCAGCAGCTCTTCCAATAGTCCCCCCCCTCTGACCCCCTCTTTTTCCTGCTCCTCCTTTATCCTCGTCTCATGCACTCTTTTATCCGCCAGTCTGCGGCCCCATATTCTCACAGCGCCTCCGACCTCTGAGCAGCGTCCCGGGTAAGAACAGCAACACTTTGCTCAACCTCCAGCAACTAACTGCTTTTCCTGGTGAAGACAGAGATGGGATAAAGTTAGGACTTTAAAATGAGGACGGGTCATGAAGAAGGAAGAAAGATCATTATAAGGACTATTACACAGAGGTGTCAAATACTTTATTACCTTACTTAAATACAGGTTTTGGATATCTTTTTCAGACTACTTTATACTTCTCCTTATGTTTTGTTTGCAATTATCTCTAATTATCTCATTTTCTTTATGGCCTGTTGGTATTTAAAGGAAAAGTCCGCTCATATTCAGAATTCCAACTTCTAAAAGTCCTTTAAATCTGAAATAATTACATGCTATTACACACCATACGATTGGGCGTCTAATAAGGACCCCTCCTAGCGATAGTTGGAGACCCTAAAGCAGTGCGTTTATGGGACTTTTTGACCATTCTACCATTTTGTTTGCTCTCATTCTCCACTCAGGTTTGAGGTCAGGACTCTGTGCCGGCCAGTCATGTTCATCCTCGCCAGGCTCTGCCCGCCATTTCTTCCGTTCTTTGTGCTCTGGTCCTCATGTTGACAGAGGAAGGGTTATTTTTAGCAATATAGTGTATATTAGATTTGCAGCACCAGTATGAAATTCCAAAACAAGTTAAAAAACAAACCACTGGACTTTGTTTTCTAAATTTTAGGACGATTTGCTCCCCTTCCAAACTGCACTGGAAAAAATCTAAATCTAGATAAGTAGTTTTTTCTTAGAATTAGTGCATTTGTTCTTGAATTGAGGAGGTAAAAGAGACATTTTGCCAATGGAAGAAGATAATTTGCATTTAAAAAAAGAAAACACAATTGCATTGTCTTATTTCAAGTGCTTTTTATTTAAATATCTTATTTTAAGAGTAAAAATACTCATTCCATTGGCAGATCATTTTATTTATCTTCTCAAATTAAGGGTAAATACACTTAATTTAAGACATTTTTACTTATTTTTCAATCGTATTTCCTGTTTGAATCTTGCTGCAGAGAGGAAATCCTCATCATGAGGAGCTTCTCTGACTTCTCAGTCAGGATTTAGGTGAAGCTGTTTTCAGTGTGGATTTCTGTAGTTAAATATCCTGGAATTAGTTTTTTTTTTTTGCTGGAGAATTGACAGCAAAACATAGGTAGTATATTTGTCCAAGTCTTGCTGGTTGCAACAGTCATTTCCATCTACACTGGAAAAATGATTGAGAAATAAGTAAAAAATATCTTAAATTAGGTGTATTTTCCCTTAATATGAGCAGGTTAATGACATAGTTTGTCAATGGAATGAGTATTTTTACTCTTAAAATAACATAATTAGATAATATGCACTTGAAATAAGACAATGCAATTGTGTTTTCTTAATTTAAGTCTACATTGTGTTGTTCCATTGGCAAAATGTCTCTTTTATCTCCTCAATCCAAAAACAAATGCACTTATTTTAAGAAAAAAAGTTTTCCAGTGTAGATCAGCGGTCGGCAACCCAAACTGTTCAAAGAGCCAAAGTCGACCAAAAAACAAATTTGTCTGGAGCCACAAAAATGTAAAAGGTTTCTATAAGCCTCGTTTGGCAACATGGGCTCTTAGTGTATTAGCACACTATAAAAAATGACTATGTGGGGTTAAATGTATACTAAGCATTCATGATTAGATGTTTATCCTGGAGCAAATGTCACATATGAGGTGAGGGAGGAGCAGTGAACGCTCTCACTGTGTCGAATTCACAGCGCGCCGCTGCCCTGCCCTTTACCGCGCAGTTTAGGTTTTGTTGCATAGATGAAATGATAGAAATACGATAAAGGAATCTTTCTATGGTGGACGTGTTTCTGTTGGGAGGAGGTGATTGACTCACGAGGAACCAAGCAGGAACTGACATCCATCAGAGCAGAGCTCTCCAACCCCGAAATCCCACATCGTCCGTCACCAGCGTTCCTAGGTGTGATTTGTTACCTGCTACCTGTTGGATCTGAGAACACTTTTCTATGCTTACAACCAAACTAGCAGCATTAGAGGAGTTTGGAGATGCAATCCACTCCTTAAATCTATCTTTAACAACTTCTCATTCAAAAGCAAACATGCAGGCAGATCTTCCTCATCGGTAACGATGAAAGGAAATGATTCTTCTTTGAATCCTCTGTTCTCATCAGCCAGAGACTCACAACAACAGCCACCTGCCTGGCGCCGCGCCGAGCTGAAAGGTGTCGCAGGCCAAGACCACTTTTCCCTTAAAGAAATCTTTAAATTTATTTATTATACAAATGTTTCCAGCATTGGAAAACATGACGAATGTTCGATTGACCTCCTGATCACCATATTAAAATAAACAAAAACAAAGAAAATCATGCGGTTCCAGAGCCGCGGGTTACTAACCTCTGATCTAGAACATATTTATGGGTGTTGGGATAAAAGTTCTAAGACCGCTGGGTCCAGTTCTGCTTTAAATAATCAACAATCAGAGGATGAATATGCTGACTCTATCTCTCTAGAATCACAGCCTGACAGCAGAAGGGTTGAACTTCAATCAGAGACTCTCGTCCCGTTATTGTGTAATAAAGACCACTTTATAATGTATTGATGCTGTTATTCAGAATCCTGATTAGGCTGAAGCTCCCAGTTCAGCTGCTTTAAAGGAAAAATATGTTTTTTTTTAATCATCTATGGACATCTATCGATCTATTCTATGAATCTGCTGTTTTCTTTGCACCCAGCTGTTTATCTGCTGACCTGAATGTTTCTCATCCGCCACCATGCGTGCTACTTTATGCGCCTGTGTCTTCCTGCTGTGCCTCATCCTGCTCGCCGAGGCCAAGTGGAAGCTGGGTCAGGAAAAGCGGGATAGACCTCGCCAACCTCAGCCGTCGTCCTCACCGGCTCGGAGGACCAGGTACCGCTCGGTGCTGAGCTCCGGGGAGCTGACCACCAAGCAGGGCCATCGCTGCATATGGCAAACATCTGGAGAAGGTCTGGTGAGCCTGCTGGTGAACTGCTCCACTGAAGCTGAAGGAGAGCTAGAAAGGTGAGGCAGGACCACACATGCATTCAAAATGTTAAAACAGACGATGCATCTTCTCCCTCAGCCGGGCTTTACCTTTTTCCTTTTTTTTACCTTGGTTATGTATGAATTGTGGTTCGCTTTTATTTCTTTAGCATCATTTTCTTCATTAATGTGGAAGCATTAGCATTAAGCTAGGCATACACTCTACCTTTTTTTGCCCTTTTTGGGCTGATTCTCCAGTTGTGCGAGAATTTTTCGATCCTAAGTCCTAACTTGGCCGCTAAGCATGGGCAGAGTTTTTGGGGGGGCACTGCCCCCCCTGGTGGCCTGAAACATGTAATGACATAATATGTTAAAATATATATACGTAATGATATTTGTAATGTTTTGATTAAAATACATGTAAGTATGAAATTAATATGAATCCTAGTACATTTTTGTAATATATATTATTTTTCAGCAATCATGTGACATAGTGGCGTCGACTACCGTTTCCGTCCGCTACTTGGTGGTTTCCCTCTCATTGTCAATCTTGCTAGCCTGTACGTAAACGTTATAGCATACAGTTGCCTCATGTAAGTGAGTAAAAACTGCAAATGGATATTGAACGTTTTTTAAAACATCCCATGACCTCTGCCAACACCCTGCAAGAATTCGAACCAAAGCCAGTACCAACAAATGCTGATCTGGGAACACCTGGGATCAGCTCTGCAAACCCAGCTAGCTCACCATCGGATGTTGCAGGGCTGTCGTCGGGGTCAGTTAGGTTGCCTAGCAGCTGTACTAAAGCACAGCAACTACCAAATTATCTCGGTGACAAGCACTGCTGCCCGAACCAGCCTATAGGGCTCGGGATCCGCGTTGCATTGTGGGACGTGGCGGCCATGTTGAATGCTACGCTCTGATAGCATAGCTCCAATAGCATAGCTCTTATACTGTAGCTCCGGTAGCATCGCTCTGAAAGCACAGCTCCGACACAACGTTGTGAGAGGAAAAAAGATGTTAAATCTCACGTATTTGAGCCTTTTCCCGCTGCCGTTTTTATTATTTTCCAGAAAAGATCCCAACTTTGAAGGAAAGAAACACTGTAGGCTATAAAATAAAACCGTGCATCTTTAACTTACCAGAATGAAAATGCAGGGAACACACTCTCATTGACATCGATGTTCGGTCGTCTTACAGCCGCGATCCAAGCTAGCCGACGACTCTTTGTTATCTCTGACACTTGGTCTCCGTGGTTACGCCTCCAGGCAGGAAAGCGGTGGAAAGTTAACCCATTTTCTATGTTGTTTCCATGGCGATCATGTGTTGAGCTGTTACAGCCCACAATACAGCAACGGTTTACCATGGTTGAAATCAAGTTAAGGTGAAATTAATCAAATTAAAACACGGCTGAGAGGGAGTACAGTACGCGGTAGTCATAGGCAGTAGTCTGAGCCGCGGTAAAAGAGGCATTCAAGATGGCGGCGACGCAAAGTGCTTACATCATGATGACCAAGCCCTATTCTACCGGATTTTCTTTCAAGATTGTTTGGAAAGCCTAAACGAGCCTTTTCCATGTGCTACTGTAACTGAGTTAATTAGATTATTTTATTTGATGAACCTTCTCAAAACACCTTTTTTTTTTATTAATTTACATGTTTGTTGTTATTTCTGTTTTATACTGCTTTTATTTAAAATTATTTATGTTTCAAACTCATTTTTCTTTGTTTTTCTTGGGTTCTGTATGATATTTTATTTTGGAGGAGAAGCTTTTATTTTTTTCGCTTCCGGTGTCCGTGTCATATCCTCTGTATCCCCGCTGCCCTCCTCAGTTCGCGCCAAGCTGCGCTGAGGAGAGGTGCATGTGGGAAACTGGAGCCCAGAGTTGCTGTGCTGAATATGTTCTTGTTGTAAACAGGTATGTGAGTAATTCAAAATGTTATTTGGATGTCAAATTTATTTATTTAGTATATTTTCATATTATATCGGAGAATTGTAATGATTGGGCAGATTATTTTTGTTTGGGTTTTATTTTGTTTTGTATGAATGCAGATTCTACATAATTATCATTTAATTATTATAAATGAGAAATATTATTTTTATTATTATTATTGTAATTAATTCATTTTATTATTATTTAACCTCTGTGAGAATTTTGGTTTGTTTTAATGCATTCTGAGTTCGCGCCAAGCTGCGCTGAGGAGAGGTGCATGTGGGAAACTGGAGCCCAGAGTTGCTGTGCTGAATATGTTGTTGTTCTAAACAGAAATAAACCGAAGCAAGTCTGATCTCTTCGACTCTTCATTCCACGACTGTTACATCTGGTGCCGTGACCCGGATCCATTGGTTAGCCGCTGCCGACCGCCGAGGGTTCAGCTGTGTGCCAGTGACGCTGATGTCATCAAGTTGGTCGGCCTGTGGATCCTGCTCATTGTTGTTGAGGTTGCGATCACTTTTCTGAACACAGAGACTTAAGACATATATCAAACCACTATATTAGTTAGATTAAAGCCATTTTTTGTGTATGTGAATAGTGAAACTATTTTGGTTTAATTTTTTTTATTACTGCTTTTTTACTGTGTGCAGTATGGCAGGCAGAGGTCATAGTACCTTTAATGTTTTCACACCAGTAGTTGGGCGTGGCAGAGGGCTGTTAGCCCAGAGTAGTACTCACGTGATTGATGAGGGGTCATCAGAAACAGAAGAGATTATTGAAATACCTCCATTAGAGCCCCAGTTTTCCACCCCTGTAAATAATAATGAAAACACCATACGACAGTTACGCGACCTCATTGGTGAGATAGGGAGCCAAATAGGTGAGGCCATTACCAGCCGTCTGTTAGACAGCGGATCTCATGTTACTCCAGAGAAGCCTCCACCATCACAGTCTGCACGGAGTGAAACATCTAACACAGTGTTTGATCTCTCAAAAATGAGCCTGGTGGTGAAATCAGACATTAAAGAGCCTCCTATCTATCGTGGTGATGTTGATGATAGGACCTCTGTTCATGAGTGGATAGAAATAATGGAGGTCTACCTGCGCAAAAAGGGATTCCCAGCTGAGGAAAAAACTGATGAAATCCTGAACCACCTGCTTGGCAAGGCAAAAAGCATTGTTAAGATCGGATTAAAGAGTGCTCCTTCCACCACACCTGTAAACCCTGAGGCAGTTTATAGCATTCTGAGGCGCTATTTTAGCGACATTCCTGGATCTTGCTTACCACTGGCTGATTTTTATGCTACTCAGCCGATGGCTAATGAGACACCAGTAGACTACTGGGTTAGACTTAACACAGCTGCTGAAAACGCTGACAAACACTTGAAAGATCAAGGAAGCAGCCTGAATAAAATGGATACAGAGATAGCAATGATGTTCATCAGAAATTGTCCTGATTCTAGTCTCGCCTGTGTTTTCAAGTGTAAGCCCACCACTAAGTGGACATTCACTGAGGTGCAAGAGGCCATTGATGAGCATCAACGAGAGCAGCAAGTGAAGAGACCACACGCAACTGCCCCAAAAGCAAAAACACTCCAGATTGCCACTGCAGTAGCAGCACCTGACCACTCAGAGCTTGAAGTAGAATGTAGGCAAATGAACACTGCCAAAATTACTCCTATCAGTTCTACCAGCCCAAATGATCGCTCCGCAGAGTCAGGTGCTCTTGAACGGATGTTAACTATGCTTGAAAGAGTATTAGAACGCACTGCCCAGCCTGTTGGCGATACTCAGCCTCAGTTCTTCCCTTCCAGTCGACCGACTCCATGTCAAGTATGTGGCAACAGTAACCACTCTACACGGACACACTGCATGAGAGAGAGAAGATGCCTGGCCTGTCTCGAGATTGGACATCAGCGAAGAAGCTGTCCAAAATTCCCTAACACTCAGCGAGTTGGAGGCTCTATTGACCAGGGAAACTAAACCACTCACACTTGAGAGGGCACTGTGTGAGTGAGTATGATGAGTCCCTCACCCCAACAGAAGACATAAAGGTTGTGTATACAGAAAGTTTGAAATCTGCTCCAGCCAACACCCATGTGTTGTTTCAAAACATATCCAGACTAGAAAAGGCTGACAGCCTCTTTTACACTGATGCACAGGTTGGGGATAAAGTGTCATTGCAAGCTCTTTTAGACACTGGCTCCATGGCCTGCACTATCAGCGTAGAAGCTGAGCAACTTCTTGAGAATGCAGGGCTTACATCCCAGCCTGATTGTGATCGTAATGACATTATTCTTGTAGGCTGTGGAGGAGTTCAAGTAAAGCCCAAATGCATCCATGAATTAAAAATGGAAGTATATGGATGTTCATTTATTGTTCCAGCTTTAGTGGTGCCTGGGCAGAAAGATCAGCTGATTTTGGGCACAAATGTCATCAAACACCTCCTAAACCAGTTCAAACATTCTCCTCACTTTTGGCAAGTTATGAGTAAACCAGAGTCTGCCCAAACACCAGAAGTCATAAAGTTTCTTAGTATGCTGTCTGGCACTGAAAGATGGAGAGGTGATGTGATCCCAGATTTTATTGGGACAGCTGAACTGGTGCAGGCAGTCACTCTTCTCCCAAAGCAAGAACATTTGATTTGGAGCAGACTCCCTAAAAACTCGCCTCTCTCCGAGGGCAGTGCCATTCTAGTTGAACCATCACCCAAAACACAGATGCATAAAAAAGACATTATTGTCTGTAGATCAGTGTCCTCCATGAATGGTGATAGGTGGGTCCCAGTGCGCATTCTAAACACCTCTGATAAGGCCATCAAATTAAAACGCCATACCAAAGTAGCGGAGGTGTCCACCTGTATAGCCCTTGAAGATATGGATGAGATCCCTGAGCAGGTGCTAGATAAAAAATTCAGTACCAACAATCAGACAGTGAAAGATGACAAAACAATCAGCTCAGATTCTCTCTGCACCAGCTTCCGTGACACTCTGAGTAACTTGGGGTTAGAAGATCTGGACATTGACTCTTGTGAGGTGGGTGATTACTGGAAGTCAAAACTGTTGCAGTTGGTCCAGAAATATGAAGGCATTTTTTCAAGAAG